TCTAACTGTCATGATGTTTTCAATTCCCTTGCGGCTGAAGCACGTACTGTGTGGGACAATGATGTGATTATATGACACAAAAGTACCCCGATCAAAAGATATTGATCCAGTGTTTTGATTTGTTTATTTGGTACAGTACTGGTTAATCTTTGTGTCGGGTTTTGTTTTGTTTAGTAAATCTTGGTTTTTTTTTTTTTTCTTACCTTATCAGCCTTGCCGGCGGTTTTTTCGCCCTCGTAAATTTTCACATGCGGAATATTTTGGTCACGTCTCGGAAGGAAACAAACAAATTTGTTAATATTCAATAAGTATTGAATGGCGTCTTTTTGAAGTGGTTGTTTATCTTCCTATATGGAATAGTATCTTACGCTTATGACCATATTGCAGTTATCCAGACTTAAGTTGTAGTGCGAAGTACTAGCTTGTAGATGATTACTGAAAAACTGCTTTAACATTTTATAATTCAGTTTTTTTAATTGTGCTAATTATTTTTGGAAATAGAATCACTACTTACAGTCTTGCAAGTCAACTGCTTAGATTTTTTTTGTCTGTTTAAGAGAGCCAAGTGATATTTGCTACCAACTTTTGTTGTATTCGTTCATTTTACGTCATGTGAGATATTTGTTTTACTCGTTACTTCGATCAACATAATGAAAAATATGCTGTAATACTTAGAGGGTTTTCGACTATTGTTCAAGGGTATTAAATATCTCATTCTGATTTACTTCAACGTCAACCAAGTCAAGAAATGGGCGCCTTAAAGATATTAGTGTTTTTTAATTAGTTCCGAAGATTTTTTGTTCTCATTTAAGTGTAAGAACAACTTTTGAAATAACCCAAAGAATTGCTGCTGATGAAAAGCTTACTTATCTTTGCCTTTCCCGTTTCAAACTTCTGTCTCTCTATTCTAAGGGGGGATTGGGAGATATTTAACAATGGAGGAATTAGGAGCGCATTTACAAAACTGGGCGCCCACGTAGAAGCCCTCCATCCATCTTGTACCCATTGGTTATCTGTGCGTCATCTCATGTCTCAGGTCTTAGTTATGGTCACAAAATTGTGCGCAACAATTTACGTTTCATATTCAAAACGGACGCTATTGTGTCTCGAGACAATATAAAAAGTATGTTAGACGTGCTTAACGTTGACCTACTTTCACCCGCGATTGTTGACACGATCAGAAAGTTGTCTTTCACAACACCGGAGATACTTTGAAAACTTGTGTCAATAACTGCACTTGTATACGTTAATCGTGCACTGTAAATAAAAGCCAGCTACACAAAACAGTTAAGCCCCTTCATTGTTCAGCCTACAAGTAAACCTATATGCCCTGCCATAAATAAAATCCATGTTTACAGCCAGTAACCATAGAGCTTTATGTTCCCTCATAGCGAATTCTCATTTTATTCACGATCAGAAGATTGAAGTAAACTCTGCTCAATGCTTTGAGATACAACTTTTAATTTTGTGGATCTTTCATATGCTCTCTAATCACGATAATTCTATTTTCACATACATGATTCACCCATATTTGAAGTACAAATGAACGCCACTGTGCAAAGCTTTCATGCAGGACTGTTTATCAAATTGCGAAGGCATTTTTTGCCAAGCTGAAAAAAGGGGAGAGAAGAAGGAAAGGATAGAGAGCGTAGACATGAAGGAAAGAAAACGAATTCAGAGCGGAGTGCATGTTGTATTACATCTTGCTGAGCGTTTTTGTTTTCCAGGTGACGGTGCAGCCATTTGCACAAGTGTCTGGAAAAGCAATAGATGTGGCACGGAAGAATTGAAGTACTATTTTGACCCTTCTACGAACATGTGCCAGGCGTTTAAATATTACAGCTGCGTGGGTAACGATAACAAGTTCGGCAGTTTAAAGGAATGTCAGGACAGTTGCGCTTCGAGTAAGTAATTCAGTGATTTAGTGCCACCATTGTGCCGATTAGGTTTACTTTTTGAGAATAAATTTCTTGCTTAGATTAATTTAAGCAGTTTTTTGCAATTCAAAAGTGCTTTCTAATTTGTATTTTTTCCACTTTACAGGCAATAAACAAAAACGCGAGTTGTCCAACAGAACTCGAGCTTCAAGATCAAATGGTCATTTTAGAACGATAGTACAGAGATTACACGACATTGTTAGTCAGTCAGCAAGGTGAAAAGAAAAACAGAGCTTGTAATTGAAAAGAACAAGACTGAGATGAACACAGCAGAATTAACAGATCGAAAAAATAATTTTTATTAACAGTCTGTTTCTTACCGGCCCCTGAGGCCTTTCTGAAAAGATCTGTTGTCACTGTTGTGATATTTCAGTTGAGTTGAGACTGTGGTGCATGTGTCGTTCCTCGTTTTTTGTTGGCCTGATTGACATTCTCCGTTGTAAGTTACCTCCTTAATGGTCTCACTTAGAGAAAAGCGATGAATTCTTCCTTGATATTTGATTTACTCATCGCACGGGGCTGGATAAATACGAAAACTACACAGGAACGATGAAATAGTGAATAGTGCCTTTGGATAAGGACGGAACAAATATGAGGGGGACTTGTTGCTATTTATAGACCAAGGGAGTATATAACACATTTATGAACAATCAAGTAGAGTTTCAATTTCCCGGATGTGAAGGTCTCATTATGATGCAGGGCTTCGGTATTTTTCACTCAATTTACTTTAAAGCGTTTTGATTTTAGAAGAAACGTTTAGTTTCTAGTTCAATGAACTTGCAGGTTGTCTCAAAATAGATTAATTTTTGTACTTTATAACCACAGTTGTCTACAAAGCTGGACAACGTTTAAATTCTCTTACATCCTGAAGTGCTTTGTTTCTTTTTGAAAATCAAGAGTGTCGATGACTTTATCGAATTCCCATTTTCTTGTACCTTGGCTCTTGAATTTTTCAGGATGTAGCAATAACCAAGTTCGAATATGGTCTCCCTTTACTGGACGAAAAATTACTCTCGAGTGAGATATTCATGTCATCTAAATCTTATGACTTTATTGGACTCTTGTATCCTGTGTCATTGATGGTTTTGTATAGATCACTATTAGTACGAAAAAACTAAATTAATAAATCGCTTGTTAGATTCCACAGCGCGTATGTTTTGTTCTCTCACCCCAATCATTGGATGTGAATGTGTACGATAAAGGAATGATGACAGACCATGTTTGTAGTTCTCTCCTTTTTATTGGTCTTTATTATTGGTTATCGATCCAACTATCAGTGATCTCGACTCCCCTTAAACTTCACCTTGAAGCTGTTTTCAATATTTCCCCTCTACACCACCTGCCCTAAGAGTTCAGCGCACTCATTCCAGTTCGTGCCTTGTTTAAGATGTCGTCTGTCTTCGGTTGATGTAATTGATTGGGCGTAGAGAATATAAATAGACTTTCTGCCTAAATTTAGGTTTTTAAAAATAGGTTTTTTCAGCCACATGCTGTTAATTTATTAGACTTGTGCCGTGTTTTAGTTAACTTCAAAAATCTGTGTAGTAGATCCAGCTGTACTTGCGTGTTGCAGCATTTGTAGATGCATCTTGTACTATCAGGTTGTACAATTATTCAACTTCACTGTATTCCACTCAGCCCTATAACAAATCAGACATGGATTGAAGTGTTAACTATCATTCTTAAGCAATAACTTAACACTTCCCATATTATTCACCCTTTGTTTGTTTCAATACATTCCAAAAGACCTGTTTCGGTTCCAGAGTTTTCCGTTTCTCAGTTAAGCCTGGAGGAAATTCAAGCACTCCAATTGTAAAGAGACCCAGCGAGGAAATATTCCACGCTCGCAACAGACAACATCCCACACGAAGGGCGTTAGGTAGGCGCGTTAGAACCGGCGATAGCTAGCCCGGAATGCCGAACAGAAACACAGTTTTCACGATTACTGTACATACTGCATGAGTCGGTAGCCTAAAAAAATTGGTTGCACATATGAGTTTTTTCTTCCTTTGTTTGCTTGACTTTACTCTGACGAACTGCTTGAAACAAACAATTAGCCAAGCAACAGAACTCATCCTCCATTTTAACAAAAAACATAACAATACAGAAGTAGGAGATCCATTGTACGGGCCGGTGGTTATGAACACAGAGGCGACACCTTTCAAGATTTAGCAAACCGCGTGTGATTTTATGTTATTCCATTTAAAACATAAAATTCAGCGTTCAAAATTTTCAAACTTGACTGAATGATAAATCTAGTGCTTTCTATCAAGGATCTTTAACCAAGCCTCAGCACCTAGTCAGAAACGATGGGAGCAACGTTATTCAAGTTATTTAGCATAATTGTTTTCAAAACACTCATCTCTTGTCATTTTTTTTGTTAATCCTTGTAGCCCCATGAATATTGTAGATTCATCAGTCGACAAATGTACGTTTTTCACTTGGCAACGATATGTCCTGAATCCTGAAAAAATGTCAAATACGCTATGTCATTGTCGCTGAGTTTGCAATAAGAATCTATCTGCAAGCTTTGATTATCCAATTTTTTTTCTAAAGGAAAATGGATAAATTAAGCCTTTGAAGTATCGGAGTATGCTCCCTTTTGAAGCAAAGCTGAAACAACCGATCAGCGAGCTCGAAAGTCGGAGCTGTAGGGCAGCCACTTTTTTTTTTTTTTTTTTTTTTTTTTTTATGATAACAATCTCACGTTGAATACAGACAATATCACCTCTGGCCACGTTATTCAGCTCGACGACCCACTTAACCACGTGATTTAAGCGGGGCCACGAAAATAAGCGGCGAATCAGCGAGAGGAGTTGAAAATAAAGAACTTAAAATCTGTGAATACTGTTTGACGTTTCTTTTATCGAACGGCCAAAAAAACTGCTAGTTATGTACGTTATAAAAGTCTACAGCGAGATTAAATTTGAACTAAAGCCAGAAATTACCCTAGTATCCCTTATCACCTCACGCTTCGCTAGTAGACAATCACGTTTTTGCCCGTACAAGTCCTCTGAGCCATGTGACTTCGAAGTGGGGAAATGCACAATAGGCCGGTCATGCATCTTAATGAACACTACATTTCTCACATCTATTCCTTTACTTCATAGCCACTCAGGGAGTAACATAACATGCACAATAATAGCTCAAGGTGAGATTTCTGCAGCGCTCCTAGAAGTCATTAGCGGGTCGTTTATATTTAATCCTAAACTAGTTCGATGGTGGGATGTTGCTTTTTTCGCAAATAGACCAGACAGCTTGGTTGTTATTATAACGTGCAAATAAGATTTAAGTTATAATGTACCGGACGTGAAAATACCTCCGTTACATATAACATATAAAGGAAGTTTATTCGGCTATGAATGATTTACTTACTGAACACACAGGGTCACTTAACAAACGTTACCAAAACAGTTCACCGCAGCGGTAATTAAGAAAGCAAATCCTGGAATTGGTTGGATCGACGGCTGTAAGTCATAGAATTATTTCGAACTTAGGTGACAATGTCAACAAATCTCAAGCCTCTCAAGGAATAATTAGCACTGACTGATAGCCTATTTTTCATACTTTAGATTTTGGACAAGCAGCGTACATGATTTCGAAGGCTTCCAGGTTATGACAGGTGAGCCTTGTACACCGTGCATGTAGTTATAAATGCTTCCCGTTCCTCTCGACTCCTCTTTAAAACCATTAACTTTCCGTCGCTGCTTTAGTTTGGAATCATTTTCCACTCGAGAAAGGACGAGGTTCATTTCAAGGTTTTTTTCCGGGTTTGGTTTTTGTTCGGTTTGCTAATGAATAGAATTTTTGACCGTTTGATTTATATTGCTGCAGAATTTAAAACCATTTACCTATCGACTTTGTCATCATAAGGATGTCATATGATTCCTCGTAACAGAGAAAGAACTTACTGAAATCAGCAAGCTCGCGGCCTTTTGAAGGCGCATTTTATTCCGACTATTTGCATTCGAGTGTGTATTATTATTTTCAATGGACCTCTTGACTATTTTCAGATGGCTCTGCGCTCTCGTTTTCTTTTCTATACGAAGCGGTGTTAAAATAATGACAACTACAATCGCCGACTCTCTAGCTAGTTATTTTCACCTGTCTTCAATTCGGTAGCCACGGCCAAGACTGAATGAGGGGATAGTGAAAAGCGGTGAATAGAGAAACCCGAAAGCACTTACTCGATCAAATCCCATCCTCATAGAAAAGCCTCTCTCTCGATTAAGAAAATGCGGCGTTTTTTTAAGCAAACCAGGAAAAAATAATAACAATACTGTATAACTCGCTAACCAGCCTTATCCTTTTTGAGTACATCACAATGTAGACAATTACGAATCGATCGCAGCAAAAAAAGCGAAACATTGAAATATACACGTCTTTAGCTATTTTGCATGTACCACACAGCCGCTGAGTTTTGAAATCTTCGTAAAAATATATAAAGATCTTTTTATTTCGAAAACGAGCGATTTCAAGCCAAAGGTTTTCTCCATTCAAGTCTTAGGAAGACGACAAAAGATAAAAGACAAAGAAAAATTCTCAAATGGCTTGAAATCGCTAAGTTAGGACAACCGACGCAAACAACAGTTTGCGAGATGAACGAACCAAATCAGTCAGATAGACAATTGAAAATCTCGAAAGTTCGAGAAGAGTATTTTGTTAGATATACCTAAAGCTAAGACTGTTACTGGTTCCAGAATAGTTTCTACTCTAGAACCTCAAGAACATTTAATACACTTCCAGAATACTTGAGGGTCAATACCCAATCTATTAATGTTTTTAAAACTAATTTGAAGAAATATATTACTTAGATCTAACTTCAACTGTGTGTGATCCTGCATTTCCACAAACTTTCAAAAGTGTCTGCATAAAATTTCATATGAGCAGACCACTAACAGCATTACTAGCCAAACTCTGTTGCTAATTAACTATTTCTAATCAAATAATTCGTACCACTCGATTCTCATTTGTAATTGTAATTTGTAATTTTTTTTTGGTTTGTTTTTTTTGTTTTTTTGTTTTTGTTTTTTTTGATTGTGTAGGAGTCTCGTTAATGGAACGTTAGCTCTGTGAGATCTCTCCTGCCAAATTGTTTTTGGCGAAGCTTATAAATAAATAAATAAAGTCCGTGTTTGCCAACCGAAAAAAATCTCCAGAAGATTCTCATAACAAACACCATTTGTACGTTAGGCGCACAAAATATCCAAAGAAATAATTTGGATATATCAACAAAGTTGAAATGGTAAATTGGCCACCGTAACGATTACAAAAGCTGACGTTTCGAGCGTTAGCCCTTCGTCGGAGCGAATAGAGGAATTGTGGGTTGTGTGTGCTTTTAAAGGCAGAAAATGGAGCTACGTTATTGGTGGGAAAATGGCAATGAGAAAAACATGAATAAATTAGTGGAATGAAAAGCGTTCGTTGATCCCTGTGGGATTTAGACTGCCGGTTTGAAAGATGAGCTTTTGTTCAAGATTTTTACGGCTTTCAGTGCTACCTAAGTGCAAGGAAAGATCGCAAACTGCCATATGTTGCTTAGAATGATTAGGTTAATTAAAATGTCTAGCGACTGGTTTCGATGTGTCCTTGTCATTCCTTTCCACGTCTCGAAGAGTCTTTCTAGTAGAATTAAGCATCAAAATATATTGAAATGTAGTGATTTGGAAGTTTCAAACCGAACAGCAGAATGTTTCTAAAGTTAATCCAATTAGCTAAACACCTCTGTCTGGAACGTGCCTCCATTTGAGCGCAAGGTTAGAGCGTTTGTGGAGTTGAGGACGTGTTGGAAAACGTGGCTTAAGCTAGGACAGTTTATTGTAACGAACAATGAAACAAGTATTCAAAACACTGGTTTATCATAAAAAGGCAAAAATCGTGTAGTTCATAGCTTTGCTAAAGTGTTTTCTACTTGAAATATAACTTCGATTTACGTGCGCCGAAAATGAGTGAGCGCGCGAAACATGCTTCGCGGTGCGCCCTGAGAGGAAGTATCTTTATTATTTTCATTTTTGAGCGACTGAAAGCTGTTTCTTTCTCTATTTATAACCGTGCTGATTGAAATGATAGTCGTAAAGTCCTACACAATACACGGATTCTCTCTGTTTTTTGACTATCCTAGATGAATTATGCAACAAAAAAATCACGTTTCACTGTACTGAGCTTTCATCCAGTTTTTGTTTATAAACAAATGCAGAGGCATTTCTTATTCCGTAAATAGCGTTCTGTTTTCCTCGGGATCTTTTCTGATTTGTTACAAATTTCTGAAAATAACTATTGAGTTAAATTCTTCTCAGTAAAAAGCTTCAGTGTTACTATGCATTTTTGACCTGAATAAATTATGAACGAAGCAGTTCTTTTCAGTGAAGTTTAGGTGACGAAGAAAAGTTCTTAAAAGTTGAGAATTGGGAGATGATTCTGTTTGTACCGCAAAGTCTTTTCCGTCAATTTTGAAATAGTAGGAAAATTATTTTACTAGGAAATAAGGGCATAAAATGTACTCTATTTCGTGTTAGAACGCGCCAATTATTGAACAGGTGAGTAATTAGACTGGGTGCCAAGAAATAAAGATGTTTAGTATTCACTCAAATTTTACATAAATATATGCGTAGGTGCACGTACTTTCAAGGGGATTCCTTTTGACCGAGGTATTTTACCACTTCTTCACGTCTGCGGAAACATAGGAATTTTCTTATGTGATTAAATTGTAGATTCTCTATTTCCAATGAGATTCCCTACCTGAACAGAACATCGTACGTGAGTTCCTCGATTGTCACCTTGGTTTCATGTGAGAAAACACGTACATTAAATTGGTTTTCGCATGAAATTATATTTTTTTGTGGAAATTGAAAGAAAGACTAAACGGGTTGATTGATTTTAATGGTGTTGATTATTTGAAGGAGTTTTTTCCTCAACTTTTATCCATGATTTGGTTTAATCTTGACTTTTGATTGAAAATTTGATACAATTAAAATAAATTTGCTTGCCTCAAGAGAATAAGTGTGATTCTCTTAATCTGTTGAACCTGTGAAAACTTTCACATTAAATTAAGATTGTTTTTCCATCCCGGTCACTTTATCAAGTTCCGATCGTACGTGATCTAATAGAAATCAAGCCTATGGTTAGAATTTTTGATTTCCTGACCCCATTCGGGCGCTGTTATTAGAATTGAAAGATACTTTTGTAATTTGTTTTCAAAGCAAGTTGTACTTTTACTGTTTTATTTCAAACCGCATGTTGAGTTTTGGCTGAATCCTTTTCTTTCCCTCTTTGTGGTTGGATTAATATTTCCTTTACTGTACCACGTTGACCCAAGGTCCTGATTCGCTTGAACGCTCTCGAGCGTATTTGTAGCTGAGATCTCTCGCTATTGACTTTTGCTTCTATCTTCCGTCCACTTTATTCCGCTGTAGCCCACACAATTTCAGGAATTTTAAGCAACGGGCACTTAGTATGTTCAAAACTTTCTCCTTGACTGATTGCTAGCTACCTTTCAACTTCCATGACAAGGTCGAGGGTGACACTTATTTCAATGAATTATCACATATTTGTCTCGCTTGCGAAAGAAATAATTCAACTGGCAAGGGTGCGGTTTTATTCTAATTCTATCCTCTCGATTGGGTCACAGGTCATCAAATTTAGCGTGCGCTTTCTCATTCATCGTAAGAGATTAAACAGGTTTCACAAGAAGCTGGAATATAAGCATTGCTAATTTTATGAATCTCTAAAGCTATCCGTAACATTTTATAATTGCCTCAACAACTGACTTGAAATTCCATCTATCATCTGTAGCTTTAAGTTATTTTGATTGGTGTCTGTTTACATTTGACTGAACTCAATCTGTCCCATTATTCACATTATAACTACATCCAATATCGGTTACCCGATGTTGGAGCTTTTAAACGCTTGAAATACTTCGGGGCAAAAAAATTCGATTTAAGCGAGCAAGAGTCCTCATTAAGTTACTGTTTTGAAGAGTTTTGAAGTCGTAATTTTAAGACTTGATTGTCAAAGCGCCAACAAAGCCGGATGACGTGAATCATGATCTGTCAAAGTGTCAAGAGAAGACAAAGGCAAGATGAGTGATTTGGGTCTGTTTTCTGCAGCCCGAGACCTGTCAGGTCTTCACCGCACCACTACATTGCAATGAGTGCACGTTAACGATATTTTGGAAAGTCTATCAGATAAATAAATTCGGAAAATCGATCGTAATAAGTTTGGGCGAATATTGAATGTGCATGTTTTGCATTGTTCGAACAGAATCAAAACTAAATAGGATAAAAATGGGCCGACCTCTATTGATTTGTGGGTCATTCAAGTGTTTTGATGTTATCATGTCTTTTGTTATTGAACGAAAGTAAATAGCACGACCCATCAAGGAGTGAGCCTCTGATTGGCTGGCGGCGCAGGCATGTTATGAATTATTGATTGTTATTTGAAATTCAATATCTAATTAAAATTGCGAGCACGTACGCCCGCGTAGAGCTTGAGTGTAAAACGCAACCTAATTTCATATTTGCATCAGTTGTCTTAGAGCATTTGAGCTGGACTGAACATAGTGTGAGAGCAGGAGAAACCTACGAAGTCATGTGCAAAACAGAGATACTACACGAAGATTCGCCTGTGGTTCTTCTTCACGACGATAAACCGCTCACTATGAAGGAACTGAGCGTGGATAAAGTTTACGATTTCGACTTTAAATATGGCCAGAAATCTGCCTTCGATTTCCATAAGGATCTTGCGGCCATCGATCTTAGCATGATGCAAAACCCGAAAGGGACACGTCGCCGAAGGATCAAGCGGAGAAAATATCCGAAATTTTCATTCGTGCCTAGTCTAGAGGACATTAAAGAGAATGAACTCTTTGAAATTTCGTTTGAGGACGAAAAGAAAGATCTGGCCGCAATACATCGCGAACGTGCCCTGAGTTGTGGCTTGGCAGTGAAGGAAGAAGGTCGCCGCCATCGCCATAAAAGGCATTCTAGGAGCTCAAGCGGAAGGGTCTAAATAGCAACCGACAAGATGTACGAGGCTGACAATCCTTGAACGCTTAAACTGCGGATTGAGAACGCTATGTTTGATGCGAACCTCGCCTTACTGGGAGGCGATGGTGATGAGATCGACAATTGCGCGGCGAAGAACATGTCGTACGTGCTGTGTGTCGGGACACGAGAATCCTTCGAAGAGTAAAGAAACTTTGCCAAGACTCGGCAATAGGAACGATTTGAGGATTTTTAAACGCGATCTAAAACGCATGGAATAGAAGATGATGAAATAAACAACTCCTGTTGCAAATGACAAGCTGGAACTTTCTTAGTTTCACCAGTAACTCGCGTGACGAATGTAAATTTCAAGCGAAAAAGAAACTAACGTCCGATAGAAACATTCCTCGATAAAATGGAACAGCGCTTATGACAAAAAAAAAGCGTTAATTTCGCTTTTACACTAGCATCGTTTTATTTTTGATGGAACTGCGAAAATCATCGACGGATTAGATTCAATAAAAAGCATTAGTTCAGGGTAAAGTAAACAATATTTTGCATAAAAAGTACGTAGTTGTTAGTTTGCCTTTACTTTTGCTAAATTAACAAGATTCGCTTTGCTTGTAATCAAAGGGAAAACCCGAAATGTATTTCTATGTGGTATATTTTATGGGGAAAAGTTAAATAAGATTTTAACTATGTAATTAGGTTAACTATGAAATATACGTCAGCATTTTTTTTCCCTTAAAAGGGTTAATACATGTATGGTGGTCGAAAGTGAACATTAAATGAATTGTGACAAAGTAAACGAGTTGTTATGTTGTGTTGGATGACGATACGTGTACTTGAAGTTTAAAACTTGACTGCAAGATCTTGGGGCTTAGTGTTTTGGGCGAAAGGACCAATATCGCTTTTGTTTACATTGCCTTCGAAACCACGAATTCTAGAATTTCGATTCCTTTTTTACATCTTACTTGAATCTTCTGAGCTAATACTCAGCGAAAAATTTTCCAGTTCGTCTTTAAACAGGGTTTGTACTTTACGTGAGATTTAACCAATATCCTTCGTTTAAATTATTGGCAATAAAACCACCAAGGTTTCTCTCTCTATTCTTCGAAGCCATTTCTTGAATTGACGCGGAAATATTGTGATCCCCATATCCGAGATTCTACACAGAAAACATCAGTAACCTCTCGCAAAGAAATATGATATTGCAAAGTGAACTTCCTCAGATCATTCTTAAATGGGTGTATACAATCTTAATCTGCCTGGTGATTCTTTCAGAACGTTCTCTTAGTGGCTTTTAAACGCATCTGTAAAACACATTTCTCTTTTTAAAAACTCCTTGTCCTTATTCCATTTGGTCTTATTTCTCTCCGATGTAGGTTTCTTGTGGATTTCATACTGGAGGGTGTGTTTGGGGGAGGGGCTGTACCATTACAATAAGACGCCAACAGAGCTTGTTTTGATTACAAAGGACCGAAAACACGTTCAGCTTGAAGTAAAATAGTAAGTTTTCTTTCCCGTGGCAAACGAAAGAGAGAACCCACTTTATGTCTTTCATTTGCCACATAGCTAGCGAACCCTAAATGATAGCTCGAACAATTCACATGGGTTGTAGAGTGTCATTCAATCAAGTCGTTCACTAAGCGGAAATCCGATCAAATATGCGATGCTATTTCGGGTAGATATTAATTCAATTTGTTGATGCGTGCACTTGAAATATTTTCTCATCAATTTCAAGATCTTTCCAAAGTTTCCATTTAGAGTGCACCTTTCAATTTGCAAGATCACAGGCTCTACTTGTTTCCTATTAGTTAAATTCTCAACAGCAGAGAGGAGTCAGTACCCTAAAGGCGTTTTATCAATCCTATTTATGTACGGTCTTTTGTAATGTTTGCTCTAAAGAGCTTTGCCCCCTAAAGCTTAAAAATCATGTGAAAAATATACTCCGTCACACTTAAGTCCCGAGGTTAAGTCATTAAATTACTGTTTCGTGGAACAAGACACATGCTCTTTGAGATAATTTTGATGGCTTTACATTCTTTTTTTTAGGAAATGCGCCTTTATCTTTGATATTACTCCTTAGTGGATACTAACGCGCTAAATTTTGATGAACACGCGTGTCTTATTTTCTCGAGAGTGATTCCCGCGCGCGAAAATCAAACACATTCGCGGGGAACTGTCTAAGCAACTCCGAATTATATATTTTGACGCGAGAAATAGAGAGGCCTTGCAATAACCATGGCACAAGCAGCCATTTTGTGAACTGGCAATGTAGAACACTCGTAAATTCAACAAACATCAGTGTATTTCGGGCTACTTTTCTACGAGTGCACAAACATTGCGAAAAACATTAATGGTTATAACGTAATTTATCTTAATCCTAATGAGTTTATGACACACAGTTTTTCGAGTATTTCCTAATCCATTGATGTCTAGCCGAGTAAGCGTTACGCAATTACTTGACACCCGAGGGTACGCTTCAAGAACCTTTTCACACCAGTAAGACTGGTACCCCGAGAGTATTCCAATCTCAGACAGTAACTATTCCGCGATCAGATGCTTTATCAGCTGAATGGCATGGAATAACTCGCGGGTAAGTTATGTTGCACTGCGGAAGTGTCTACACAAGTACTTGGATGGGGAACTTAGTAAAAAAAAAAACATCATTTGGAGCAGCATGATTCTTTATTGATTCAGGTAGCCCAACATGCACATTATTAGAGCACAAAAGTCTAAACACATCGGTTCTCTAACGATAATTATTTTCCCCATAGCTCTTAGATGGCGTAGAACTTATGAAAATTGCCCTTTGTTGGACGCGTTACCGTTGGATTAAAGCGCTCGTCGGAAAGGCTAGAACCTAGACCTGTGCCTCTCAGAGAAGCTTTTTCAATTTTTTATATCATCGTTATCTTCATTTACTTTTTCATTATCATTTATTATTAGTACTTCTAACAATTTTATTTGTGATCACAAGAAGTAATAGTAGCAGCATTAGCAGAAGCAGTTGCACCTGTAGTCGTGATGGTAATGGTAGTAATTGTATTTATTGTAGTTAATCCTTTCTCTTCCTCATCCTATTTTTTAGCAAATAAAACATTGGCATATCCACATAAATATTTATACACTCAAACTAGCTTGTTCCCTTCCAACTGATTCACCCTTCACGGCATTTGTCAGCGTTAAGAAGTATCTGCAATCGATATTGTACTGATCAGTTTTAAAAATATTTTAGCGTTTGCTTCCTGTTTCTGTATGGACTCGTTTCCTGTATTTTCATTTGTTTGTTCAGTATAATGCACACAACAGTAACTCGGCGGTTTTAGCCAAGTTTTGCCAAGAGGTTTGGCGAAGGCTCGACTATGTCGAATATTAGAGAGTTCGGCCTAATTCGCCTTTTATGTAAATTATTGGAGATTTGATAAACGACAGACTCGAAATGGCTAATTTGGCGTGAGCAGTGATTTCCGCGAGAATGCTGAATGAGACAAAGTGTTGCAAAATCGCCCAAAAAAACATTTAGTATGAATTTACTTTCATACATAGACGGTTTGAAATATCTAATCATCAAATTAGGCTATCTTTGCTTTTGAAGCTTTTGCCGCACCAGGAAACTTTCTGATATCGTTTTTATCTTATAAGCGTTTATGATATTAATTTACAAAAGTAATCAATCGGTTCTACTTAGATTTCATCCACACATATCACTCCTTCAGTCGCCAAAGTTTGAGAGGGCTAACAATAAGATATCTCAGTGCTTTATTCCAAAAGGAATGGTTCTTTTAGCGGATACGTGCTAAGGAGGTTGTTAAGGAAGTATAAAATTTGCATGGACTAGTCAGGTTAGTTTCCTTTACAACTCTGGCGTGAATTTCCTGGTTTTTATCGCGAAATAATACGTGGCATAAGGGACAAAGTTTATTTGGTTCTTCTTTACCACGGTTCTTCTTTACAACACGTGTGACATACTTGTGTAAGTGCGTCAGTGATGCCGGAGTTACAACAAGACTGAATGGAAGTTCAGTATATTTTGAATTTTAAAACTTGTTTTCAACTGAGTTACAAATCTCAGACAACCTCTGGTAGTTAACAATATCTCAGTATTGGAGAGTCACGAAATCTTATTTTAATGCCGACATCGTTATGGATACTCGAATTTTAAGTTCATCAATTTGTTACTAACTGTTGTAGAGGTTATTCTTATACTGAGGATGATTGCCCTTTTCTCATTTACTTCGCTTTATCGCCACGATTATTTCTGAAACTTGGTGAAGCCACCCCTGAATTTATTTCGTTATTACATAAGGAGCACACCGAGCATTGGTAAGAGTCAAATCATAATAACTTTAATTGAACAGTATCAGTTTCCCTTTGGTCTAAAAAGAAGGCAACAATTGAAATACAATGGCTCGTCTGTCAATGTGCTTTTCAAACAAAATGTCGCATTAGTTTTAAACACAATTTGTCGTCCTCTATTAATTCGTGCATCTTTACGCGAACAAGAAAATTGAAGCAAATAAGTTCTGAATGAAACCTGAGGAATAATAAATTATTTCATCATAGGAGACATTTTTATGACTACAGTCATTAATAATATATCTATTAGCAATATTTGTAATTATTCACCCCATGGTAACAAAACATCATCAGCTAACGAAACGTACAATACCCAAGTGGTTCAAAACATCTGAATGTAATGTACGAGCGAATATTTCCGTCTTTAACTTTAAATAGATTTATCTGATCAGTGATATTACTACACGCTCTGGGAAAAGCCTTATTGATCAAAACTATGAAAAACATTGAAACTGCCACTTGCCATGCTTGTCAATACAACAAATCTCACGGAGTTGAAATAAATTTCTTTCGTTGCACCTTAGTCCACAATAAATATGATCGACCAAATTCCTAAAACTACAATGGAGACTCTCATTCTCTGTGATATCCCTCATAATACATGATTAGAAGTTATTTTTAGACTTAATTCTCCAGTTTTCCAGGCATATGTGTACTTCTGCATGTTTTTTTTTACCTTATTCAAGGAAAATAAGGAGACATTAGTCACAAATTTGCAAGGGTAAAATTTTGAACTTTAAGAGAGAGTTTGCTAAAAATAACTTAAGGGAAGAATGATTTGTATTAGGGATCAGACTCATTTCTTCGTATTATCCGCTCATCGGCTATGCCGGCTTGGTTCCGAAAGAGAGGAGTGTCAATAATTTCATTTTCCTCCCCTGATCTTTATCTGAAGATTTTCATCTTACCAGTCTCCATAAATACGATGTAGGTGTTGACAGAGGTAATCTCCCTTCCGCACTGATATCTACGGAACTATTTCTGTACAGAAAAGAAGTGAATTTTCGGTTCAAGTGGAAGTTTATTTCTAATAATTGTTTATTGGAAACCAATGTATCGAGTCTCAGATATTTTAGTTTGAAAAGCAGGGAAAGAGTCGCTATGGTAACTAAAATGCAATGATATTCCATATTTGTCATGTGTCTAGTTTACAGTATGATAGCCGCTATTGCCGGAAACCAAATCATAAGAGTAAGTCAAGAGTATTTGTGGATGCGGCACGCCAGAGTGATTTATATGATCTAAGGGTTTGAGTCTTAAAATCTGCTAGTACCACGACCTAATCCACTCCACCATGCCATTCCGGGCATACCCTGCGAGGAGAGCCTTTTTAACCCGTCCTCGAATCGAAAAGGGAAAAAGGCTCTGCCGACATCCTGTTGTTGCTCGTTTGAACAAGGGCGGCGGTTACCTAGAAACTGATCCTTTTCCAGGCCCCTTTGAACTATTGTGGGCGCAGATTTGGTCATTTGTGTACATGGAAAACAAAGGCGTGCGCACCAAAACCGGTTTGACTGGAGGCAAAACCCGCTTGATTAGCCCAGAGTTTTGGACTTTCGGCATTTCAAAGCAACAACAGGATGTCGGCAGAGCCTTTTCCCTCGGAGAGTTAAAAACAAGAAAAGAAGAAGAAAAGAAGAAAAGGCTTTGCTCGCAGTTCCGGGCAATGACGAATTCAAATTTTGTGCGTCACTGGACGGGTACCTTTAACGATTAGCCGCGCCCTACCAGTTGAGACTGTTTACAAATTTTTGTTCTTTATGGACCCTTTCATTTTGTTTATGATTCACTATGTCTGCAATATCACTGCGGCACCTGATACATCATCACAGGAATAAAGTCCTTTATTTTTATTTATTTAATTTCTTTATTATTATTTTAGCGTCCAAAGGTTACTGGGTTCTCGAGTCTCTCTTATCTCACCGAAATATTTGGGGAAAGAAAAGAAGAAAATTTACATTCATGGTCTCTAGACTATACTTCACCACATTTAGAAACCTATCACTGTTAGGTGAAAAATTGTTAGTTTTCAAGGAAATTTGTCAGCTATGATGAATAGCAAGAGAACATAGCTATCGGACAGTTTAAGAACAGCTATGACTGCTTACTGAGCTTTGAGAAAATAAGAAATCTATCAGTAGCGTGTCATAATTTTCAGAATAGACTTGAAACAAATAAAAAAAGACACCAAATATGGATGTATGCCTCCAAGACCTCAAAACTTTGATCATAATCGCAGATAATCAAAGTTACAAGAGCGGAGTTAGTTGAAAGACCTTTGTCGGTTTATTACTAAAAACAATTTGTTTCGAGTTATCTTTGAACAACTCCTTATTTCGAAAAATCTAGAATATATAGAACAAATTGCAAGGTAGTGTCGAACACAATCCGGTTTTGCTTCATTATCATTGGTCTAGAAAATTTACGCCAATCTCTCAACCAATTGAAAACGCAAAACCAGTCCCGATTCGGTCACACGCCGTTTTCCTGTGCATTGGGCAGTTCACTTCTATGTGCGGGAGTAGTTTTTCAATGAAATTAAACTGTGGAGCTGCGTCGGTGGAGAGTATTACCGGATAAATTGGTTTTATCAACTGAGTTCAGTGACAATTTAAATTGACCACCATCAAGAGTCTGTATAGCTGACGTTTCTAACACAAGCCCGTTGTCAGAGAGAATAATAGGAAGGGCTTTAGCTACGTCAGCCTTAGAAACTCTTTACGGTCGCCAATTTATTTAATCAACTCGTACAATTGTTCACGAAGTAGAAAACATTACCTCTTGTTATAACATTGAGTTCTTAATGGCTCCTCGTCATTTTTCCTTTTTCTGCTTGGCCGTTCTAATCACTTTGGGGCCGCTGCTTCATTTTATGACAAGCCACACATTCTAAGAAATACGTGAACTGTTCACTCATTCCCATAAACGGCGAAAAACATCCACGCACACACATAAGGCAAAAGTCAACATGAGTCTAAAGATAACTTTAAAAATTTCGCCACATCCTTTAGTCAACGTGAGGGCTTAGTGGGGGATCCACTCGGTTGAGTTCAATCTCCTGGTTAAATGTCACATGCTTTCGCGGTTGACCACTCTTCAGCACTTTGGTGGTCAGACTTCACAATTACTTGTTCAGTTTGTCTTATTTAAAGAGTGACCGTCTCACGCCATTTCACCCTTTACCGCCGACAATGACATTCAAAATCAAGCTATCCTCCATACATTCCTAGAGGAAGATGGGATGTTTACAGCTAGGCAGATGAATACCAAAAATAGTGTAGATTTTGAAGAGTGATTTATCAAACGCCTTCGTCTTCTAATGATGCCTTTGTCATTTATTCAACAAACAAAGCGGAATGACTAACACTCCATAATTGTTTCCGCAACGGTGAATAACAGCGACCTGTTGTCATGACGTCGTTATTTTACCGTGCGGACTCTTTCCTTAATTTTGTAGCTTTTGATGGCGTTGCTAATGTAATACATTTCTAACGATAATACATCTAACCTTAATAAAGTTATTACTGAATATAACTTGAAGTTATTGTCGATCAGCAACAAGCTCAAAGCAATTCAAGGATCTTTTCGGTTGGTCCTTTCCGTACCTGGCATAAATTAGAAAAAAATGCGCAAAACGTGAATAATTACGAGCTACTGGAAGTTGCTTCGCTCACCAATATAATACATGGCCACCTCCAACGGAAGTACTATTACGTATGTCAGTCACTTTCTAGAAATTCTAGGCTTTTCGTTGAGCATAACGGGGTTTTTTGTGTGTATCGAGCTCCTCTGTAATTTTATCTGAATTGTTAGATATCCGCTTTCCTTTTAAAACTGCTGAAGTAAGTATTTTCATCTGCTGTTTTTATCCTGATGACTCGCATGAGGCCCACTTATGGCATGTGGGCTGTCGGCTGATATTGCAGTTTCGATTTTCGAGTGCTTGGGCGTTGCTGTAATCTTTTTAAATAATGCGACGTGATAGTGGTTCTGCGTCGCTGGGCATAAATGCAACGGAACCGTAAGCTTGAGTCAGTTGTCTTAGAGGTGTTGAATTGTTCAGAGCTTGTTACGGAGCATTCTTAAACGAAACTGACTGTACCATTATGCGTCAAAGAGGGAATCTATTTCACGATGACTCCAGGATTCGTCATCAGTACGATGAAATGCCTCTCACCATGAAAGAACTCGGCGTCGAGAAAGGTTTTGATTTTGACTTCAAATATGGACAAAAATCTGCGTGCGAATTCAACGAAGATTTGGCGGCTATTGACCAGAGTATGATGCATAGCCCGAAGATAAACCGTCACCGAAAGAAAAAGAGGAGAAAGTATCCGAAGTTCAGATTTGTTCCGAGCCTTGAAGCCATCAAAGAAAACGAACTGTTTGAAACTCATTTCGAAAGTATAAGGAAATTAGACAAAGATTTAGCCTCCATTCATGAAGAGCGAGCCCTGAATCGTGGAATGTCCATAGCGGAAGAAGGAAGGCGGGAGCGTCGAAAAAGAGGTTCAAGAAGTTCTAGAATGACGTGATTGTAAAAAGCAACGACTGTGCCAGTCAAAGAAAAAAAAATCCAACCATTCTTGGGAAAGGACGCTAAGACAGTCGAATAACCATACACCTTGCTGTATGAGTCAAAAAATAACGTGGTACAGGAATTCAATGATACCATCAGCTCTTGCGCAGCCATGAATCTATTTATTCTTTAAAAAGAAAT